TTATAACTTCAAAAAAGTACTTACTTCATAACCTTATCAGTTTTGAGTCACATTTTTTCCGACTAAACCAATTATTATCGATCGGTTTTGTATCAGTCTAACTAACTATCTCCCTTCTTTAATTTTCTTAACCCAATATTCGATATTGCTCATCAACTAAATAGGGTATTGTCAATTTCAAAAGTAAGCCAGTTATAAATATTCGGAAGATGTACGTCCAGTATAAAAATCAACGCAATCACTATTACAAAAAAAGAAGAAGGTAACAACAGTTTTGAGAGTGACGTCTATACTATCAACGTAAAATGTACAGGATTTTACGGTGGTAGTATGTGACTTTTCACAGCGGTTATATAAATAACCGCCATGAAAGGTTTTTTTTTTTTTTTAAGTCTACATCTCACCCCATTGATTACGATAGAATGGGAGAACAAAGTCCCAAAGGAAGAGGTCTAGAAATCAATTAACCAATAATCTCTTACCAATTAAAAGCATTCTGATTGAACAAATGTAGATTCTTTCCCGCTATAATAGCGCCACTTAGCTTCACCTTCAACCACCAGATTGAAGTCACTAAGATTTAATAAAGATAAAATCATAGACTTAGATCTAATAAAAATCATATTTCTTTAAACTCATATTAAACATCATATTTTCAACCAAAAAAAATAATCATATCAAACCACAAAAACTATGAAATCCACAGAAATAATGGAGGTGGAAAATTCACAAATAAGAATGAAGAGGATGAGGCAATGGCGATGGCGACGGCAACAGTGACGGTGATGGAAGAACATAGCGGAGATAATAGAAGCACATGATAAATGTCGACAAAGGTAGGGAGAGGGAGAAAATCGAGTGAGGATGGTAACGGGGGACTATGAGCTCTGACTCTGAAAAGTGAAAACTATCCTTTAATGGATTTTAAAATGCTAATAGACTTTTTACGGTGGTTTTTTAAATAAATATCTTTAAAAGTATCCCTATAATTACAGAAATGCCACTGTCATATTTTTTTACAGTGTTTTTTTAATAACCGCTATAAATTAGTATCGTGAAAGCTCTTTTTTAGTAGTGAATTAACCAACCATCTCTCTCTACTCTCCTCCTCTTTTCAACTTTACTGCCGCTGTCCTTTTTTTTTTAATTATTTTTTTTGGCCTCCGATTTCCACTATCGTTTCTTTACTCTGAATTCTCTCCAATAGATATGCCTTTTTCTTGGGGGGAAAAAATCTTTTTCTTACCAATTAAGTATGCCTCGCTCGTGGAAAACACAAAAAAGCAAAAGGACCAAAAAAAACAAGGGAGGACTCACTTGGACATTCTTTTTTTTTATGAAATCAAAATTGATGGTTGGGTTTAAGGAAAAATGCAGGGAAGTGCCGGTCCCAAAAAACAAAAAGACGAAAATGTTGGGGAGAGCTTCTAGGTCCCCGCCTATTGTTTTTGGTTCAAAAAATAAAGCACACTAGCATATGAGTATGCATGGTTGTATTATTATATTGGTACTACCAAACTTACTCACTTTAATTTGTTTCCATGCTCACATCCCCAGGCAACCCCCTCGTGCGCCATATTATCATATTCGTCTTTATTCCTGCAATCAGATTAATTTGCTCCCTGCCTTAATTAATCATTCTTGATTAACAACCCCCACAAATTAAATTAAAGCGTTCTCGTCACGCCTCTTTCGTTAGCTAAACTCCGCCCTGCTCGATCGAAGTAAATCCTACGTATTGGCGCTGCAAGCGCAACTTCTATCTCGAATATCAAATATTTTTATTTAATTTGTAAATTTTTTAAAAAATAGTTAAGGTGGTTATTTATAATTAATGTTTTTTTTTTCAAAAATATTATTATCATTTAATCATTAGAGTTTGATGTACCAAAAAAAAATTTCCTCAATAGATGGAGGTGCCATATATAGGAAGGAAGCAACTGATATGAAAAAGTGCAGGGATTTGAATCTTATATTTATGTTCAAATTAAAACTATCAAGTATATTACTCTACAGTAGCGTAAGGTGTGTCTTAAAACATGTTCCTTATTCAGACGGTACTTTATTTTATATTTTGAATTCTAGATTATTACGCGTCATTGATTAGTTGTTTCCACTGAGGCTACTGGACTAATGTGCTTGTTCTTTTAACGGCTCTGAAAAGCCATATGCATATTCTTTAGAGCTTTTGTTCAAAGGCTCCTGCTTTTCAAATCGGCCAGAGAATACCTACATGACCATCGATTCTTTCCCCTGAAAATCGAAAGACAAGATATTTATGGCATTAAAATATCAGTTGACATGAGTTTGTTTCTATTGATTCTTTTAAGGGTTAAGATGTATCTAATACCTTAAAATATTTTTTTAAATCTATCTAGTACCTCGAAATATTTTGTGGCGCATTCAACATCCTGAAATAATTTTAAAATGCGTCCAGCATTTTTTTTTTGCCTTAATATTAAATGCACAAAAAAATATTTTTGAATGCTTGATGTACCTAGAAAAATATTTTGAGATGTTGGATACACCAAAAAGATATTTTACGGTATTGGATGCATATAAAAAAACTTCAAAGTGTTAGACATATCATAGAATATTTTAAAATACTAGACGCTTCTGAAAAAATATTTTTGGATACTGTACTAATTTTGTTATTTTATGTCGGCTTCAGACGGTTTTATGCGTACACAGTCTACTGTACATCATGGTGAAAGCAGCGTCAGGGGTACGTATACCTTGAGAATTATACGGAAATTTGAATATTTTCCGTCGTATAATTACCGTCCATTTACAATAGTTTGAAAGAAATACAATTTTTTTATTAAACTTTAAAAGATCTGCTTTAAAGGTTATTAAGTTGTTTCCCCGGAACTAATTAGGATTAGGATGTGTTTTGTGCTTTTAACAAGTACCCACAAAAATATCTACAGATGATTTCTTATGTCAAGATTCGAGCTCGTTTTAGGGGGTGTTTGGCAACGCTCTTCGTAAGACAAAACAAATCCCTCCACATATCTCCTTAGTAAACCATAAAAGTATTTTTAAAATAATAATTTTGTTTCCATCCAAATACCTTCTTAACTTACATGGCATCAATCAAAACTTGCACTAGTTTCGCTATTAATTGTGAGTCCTCACCTCTCACTAGTTTTATTGATCACAATAATAATATACTAATTTCAATAATTAATATAAGATCTAGTTAACTAATTTGAAAATATTAAAAAAACCAAATAAATTACTTTAAATATTTATATTTATAATTTTTTAAACTAATTTGCATGACTTATAAATTGATATATAATTTAATTAATGATATATATAAGTATTTTAAAAAGACCATATAACATACGTTATAATTAAATCATTATTTTATTTTTTTATTTTTAAATTAATCAACTCAGCCCTATTAAAAATTCATCCACGAAGTATTTTTTTTATCAAAATGCAAGCGCAAGGAGTAAAGGTGTTTACCTAGAGGAAAAATTGTAATTAGGTCCTACTCAAGAGAATTAAATACAAAAAAGACTCTTGAAATCATGAAATTATTTTGAAGTCCCAAGAGACCTTTTTGTGATAAATTTTATTTGTTTAATTACCAAATTATCCTCTTTAATGAGTTGGCAAACCAGCCGCGATAGTTGTCAATCCTTGCATCCTAAGTTGTCAACCACTGCTCTTTCAGCTGTCAATGCAAACTTAAAAAAAAAAGTGGATAATTTGGTAATTAAACAAATAAAATTTATCGCAAAAAGGTCTCTTGGGACTTCAAAATAATTTCATGATTTCAAGAGACTTTTTTGTATTTAATTCTTTTATGTGGGATCTAATTGTAATTCTTTCTCACATAAATGTCTGCGGGGATAACTTTTCAGTGGAATCTGGGATTAAAAAAGAAAGAAAAGAAATAAAAGAATTTTTTTTTACCAGCAAAAGAAATAAAAGAATTACAGTTTGGAATTCCAACACCTTACATGCCCATAGATGGTCAATATCAACGAGACAACGAGTATTAGCAATCCGTTGATTTGACCCCATTTAACCGTGGAAGTTAAATACTACTATAATTCTAACGAAGTCGGACTCGGAGGTCTATAAAAGAATAAAAGAAATGTTAGGCAATGTAACGATGGGAGTGAGTTGTTAATTGATTGTTCCTGGAGTAAATTAAAAAAACGAGAGGGAGGTGGAAAGAGCAAAAAGGGCAGAAGGGAGGGGCGTGGACAGGTGGAGGTGACGAGGCGTGTGCTGAGCTGGAGTTCGGAACGGAGGGGTCCTTTTTAGGGGTTATCAATTTTAGTTACATTTGAAAATGCGAGAACTGAGTCCGGGAGACAACCTGCTTCTGTTTTTTTTAACCCCTCAAAGCCCGAGATGATGCTGAACCCTCAACCCCCCATTCCCACAACCCACACGAGCGCTTCTCGATTCTCTTTCCCCTGTCTTTTCCTCCGCTCATCAATTTCTAAGCTGACCTTTTCCTTTTCCCCTTTTCTCATTTTTTTTATTCACTTCTTCCCCTTTTTTAAATTTGGAAACTCAGCCCGACAGAGCAAAACCCCCTGCCTTCCTTCCCTTTTTTTCCTTTTCTTTTTTCCTACGACATTATAATGTATTACTCTAATCTTTAATTTAAGATATAATTAGAAAATTAATATTAATTTTAAATATAAAACCTATTTTATATAATTATTAATTTTTAAAAAATCATCTTTATTGATATTCTCTTAACAATAAGTAAAAGATAAAAAAAAATTAAAATGATGCTTGAGATATTTAAAATATATATCATATTAGTTTATTCATCTAATATTCTCAATTTATTTAAATTAGTTAATTAAATTTTATATATTATATGTTATTATAATATTCTATTCTAACTAATCCATCTTTTAAAATAATAATAATAATAACCAAAAAAAAAAGGACACCCGTCCGCGATTCCCCCTTCTTTAAAACGTTCGTCTGTCTCTGATCCTTGGACCTATAGCTCAACCCCACCAGCCCTGTCCCCTGGCTTCTCCGTTCTCTCATCTCCCTCTCTTCTCCGACACTGTTACTTCTGCTCATGGGTGTGAGAGAGAGCGGAGCTAAGCAATGGCACTAATTTCACCTCCCTTTCTTCTTTCTTGATTCTCGCGTCCCCCTTTATTTTTTTCACCAGTTTCGTCTCGCTAACATAAGAAACGGAACCGTTCGCCTCTCACTCTCTGCTTTTCTCCGCTTCTGCCATTCTATTACTTCGTTGCGGAAAATAATTCACTTAATCGGAACTCGGAGCCTTTCCGTTTTCTTTAGTTTTGTTGCTTTGCGATCTCTGCTTTTCCGGGTCATCATCCTACATGAGTTTTCACCACTTCGAAAATGGTAGCGACCGTTTCCGCGGGGCTATAAAACAATTACTCTCCGCTCCTCTTTTTGTTTCCCAGCGTCCTCTCTCTAACATTTTTGGGGCCATAGGTCATCCTGGCGAGATCGAGTCTAGCAAATCTGAGATTGGATTTCAGATTCTGAACCCTTCCTTCATGGAGACCAGAGCAACGGATAAAATCATCGGTGAAGTCGACGGCCATTTCCGGGTCGAGACAAGCGGCCTGTCCCTGAATCTGACTGAAGAAGTAGAAGCTAAGAGGCCCGATGCCGGCACAAGTGGCCACACTAAGCTCTGTGCTAGAGGCCACTGGAGGCCCGGTGAAGATGCCAGGCTCAAGGAGCTGGTGGCGCAGTATGGTCCTCAAAACTGGAACTTGATCGCCGAGCATCTCGAAGGACGATCAGGTAATCAATTTCTCCGCACAAAAAAAAATTGCAAAAAGCGTCTTTCTTCTCTACTTTCCGACTGTTTGTTGTTTAGCTGAGTTCATTATTTTGAGTGCGTCTGACATAGGGAGAGACCGATTTTAAGTCCATTGCCTGCGACAAAAGACTGTTCTTTCACGTTGTTTTTTAAAAAATGTTTGGATTCGCAGGCAAGAGTTGCAGATTGAGGTGGTTTAATCAGCTGGATCCTCGGATCAACAGAAGGGCTTTCTCCGAGGAAGAAGAGGAGAGACTGTTGGCGGCTCATAAGGCGTACGGTAACAAGTGGGCTTTGATTGCCAGGCTGTTCCCAGGGAGGACCGATAACGCAGTGAAGAACCACTGGCACGTGATCATGGCGAGGAGGCAGAGGGAGCAGTCACACGTTTTCAGGAGGAGGAAACCCACTTCTGAGAACAATGTTCCGAACGGATTAAAACTCACTCTAACCAACAATGCCGGCAGCGAATCCAGCATGTCAAGCACCAGAGACGAGTCTGCTTCAACCTGCACTAATCTCTCCCTTACTCCCTCCTCCGCCAAACCTCTCCTTTCGACTCTAGTCTGAGCCCAGTTCAGAGTTTTCAAGGCGAAGGAACACCGATCGGTATGCCCAACTCTATACATGTTAATATGTTATTAGTGTTTCTTCTTAGGATCGTAAGCTTATGTTGTTTGTGGGATTATCGCAGGAGGAGCCGGCGGCGTTGGTTTTGACAAGTTGTTGGGCGGAAGGAGTGGGGCAGGCATGGGAAAAGGGAAGGGCGCGGAGCAATCAAATAATAATTCAGATTCGAAGTCGGAAGTATCAGTGGGCGAGTCAGTGGGCACCAACAGGAAGAGTTTGTCATATTCTGGGGAAAGTGAAAACGTGGGCGATAAGAGGGACATGCCTTTCATTGATTTTCTGGGGGTTGGAGCTGCTGCATAAAGACGATGACTTGTGCACTGAAACAAACAAGAGTCAGAGAAGGAAACAGTGGGTTTGGAGGAGCAGGCAAGTGAATCTGCAGGTGCAGAGCCCATCTGCACCCTCGTGTGTACAGTTAGTTTCGTAATAGGGAAAAAACTAGCCAAACAAGAAATGTAATAAGAGGGAAAAGACAATGGGGAAAAAGCAACTAAAGAAAAAAAAGGGGGGGGGGGGGAGATGGGTGTGAACGGGTGGAGAATGCTTTGGCGTTTTGGGAATGAGGAGAAGCCAAAGTAGGAAAGAGCTGGGGCGGTGTAAGAGTGAATAGAAGTAAGTAGTAGGGAAAGTGGTTTAACATGAGAGGGGTTTTGAGTAGTGCGTCTGCATGGCCTGCAGTATGAGTACTGCTTGGTTGACCCAGTTTTACATTAATTAGTGTGCTGTGCTGTGTTCTGCTGGTTCTAGCTCTAATATGCACCATTAAATGGTGGACTAGGGAGTAGTAGGGGATTAAATTAAATGCTCAAGTAAATTAGAGGGACGAAGCCACTCATTCAAAAAATCCCGGTGGGGTCTCTCCCTGCTCATTGCTTTCGTAGATTCTGAAAAACGTGACTTTGATTTCCCAGTGATTTTTATGTCTATTTCCGTTTGCATATGTATTTATGTCGGTGCAAAAATATTTATAGCCGTCTAACAAACTTGTTATTAGTCGCATCGCTATCGCTGAGTCGGTCCAGTTTTTGCTTAACAGCGACATTTGCCTACCCCCACTGCTGCTCCGCTTTCATTCACTTTTTAACCAAATGAAAATCGGATTTAAGTTTTCCAAATGTGTTTCTCGTGTTTGCCTTTTTTCTTAGAACAGTCTGAACCCTCAGTTTATCAAATAGAGGAGGAAAAAGGAGCGCTGATGGTTGATTGCGGGGACAGATTATTGCAACAAGTTTGTGAATTGCATCCGGGTAACCTTTTTCTTTGAGAAAGAATCATCATTTTCTTGGCAAAAACGCGGAGAGCAATTTTATTACCTCTCCGAGTTGCTTGTGTTGTCCAAAATAAAAAACAATATAAAAATAAGCAGTATACTATGCTATATGTTTAAATAATGCAATAGAAAATATTTTATTTCAATACAAAAGAAGTGTGCAGCTATTGACAAAGGTTTGTGGGCGACGTCAATGTACCGTATTCTTCAAGTTTCGGTTTTTCTTGGATCATTCCCCACAACCCATGACCAAAATTAAAATTAAACTGAAGCTCCGTGTTTTAGATATCAACCGTATTATTTGTATTTCACAGATATAATATAACTTGTACCTTTTATAATATCATGTAGACATGTAGATCTAAAATTTTTTAAACAAACCTATCTATTTATGCATGCAAGAAACGCTCGGAAAGTAAGAGGACTTAAAAAATGACAATTTTATAGCAAGCCTTTTTTTTTTTTGGTCACGATAAAAGAAAATTTGAACTCTTGCGACTGTCGTTTGTAGGTCGCTACTGTTTACCGGGAAGCCATGTAAGCTAGTTGGAGGTGGCAATTTTACAGCACATAAAATATTAATATACTAAAATATGAAACATAATATGCCATATACAGATAATTAAATAACTGGTTAAAAATATTTAAAATACACTAATTGGGAATGGAAATGCACATGGAGAGGAACACATTCTTGGGGGTGAATAAAACGTTAAGTTTTTGTTGTTTTCCGAGACACGATGGCGTTTGCCGCATGGCAATAGGTGTCCACATTGGCAGAGACTCGTTTCCGTTATGTTTGACTGCGGTGAATCAGAGCGGCCTCCTGATATTATTGGGGGTTATTTGACGCCGTTTAAACGTGCCCTGGGCTGGGCTCATCCAGGGAGTCCCCATGCGTCCAATTATTTAACGCGTTTCTTCCGATGCGGGGCTTTTGCTTTTGAGCCCAATAAAATTACTCTTGCTTTCATTGTTTCAAAATTAAAAAGCAACTGAGTTGAATCCTTTGCAATGAGACGAAGCAAGGTTTGAAACTCCGTTGAGAGCAGTACCGACATCTATGGCCTCAAACAAGATTCTTTTAAACAGGAGGACACCTATACCTAGTAGAAAATAAATAGAATAAAAAAAAAAACTTCTTCTGCTAAAAAGTAAAAGCCACATTTTTCTCAAACATGCCATAATTCCCGTGTTTTCGACGTGTTTGGTGTGTGTAGCAAAGAAGATCGTGCTCAAGACGGAACTGACACTGAGACAAAGTGTAAGAGTCTTACACATAAAAGGCGAAGGGTTTTGATAAAAGATGAGGATTTCGCTCTTATTCCCTCCCTGGAGAAGTGGGGGAACCAAGTCATACAATTAGCACAAGATATCATCGTTTACATGTTTTAATTACAATATCATCTTTACTATCCCTGAAAGTTAGCCACATTCACTCATCATAACTATCCATCCCTCCTTCGTTCTTTAGTTCAAATATTGAAAATCGACTTCTATATCGCCCGATTTATTGTTTTAATTAGTGATAGGTTTTTTCCCCCCATAAACATGCGGAGAAATAATCCATTTATTGTTTTCTCAAAGCCTATGTGATGCAGGGACTGATCAAATATTCATCAACGAAGCTGTATTATTTTGCCATCTTTTTTACGACGTTGGAGGAATTATCCGTATTATTGTAATTAGTTAAATTGTATTGATTCATAACACTTGCACTCCAAATAGCATTGTCAATACTCAGTGATCATACTCTGAAAGCCTGTGCAGGAGATCATGTCAATTTTGAAGTGAACTTGTTTATTTCGAGACGAGAATCAAGATCACGACCTCGTGAACTTCAGTACTACTCAAGATCAAAGAATGGAGATGGGCGATGATGGAATATTTATATCATATTAAAATGTGGTACAAACAAATACATCAGATCAAGACGCACAAAATAGGGGGGAGGATGTGGAATGGAATCCACCAAGTTTCACATTGAACGAAAGTACTCCAAGCTGGAACTCAGACAAAAGAAATTGTACGCCGTACCAACTAAAGTTTTAGGCTTTTGAAATTAATTAATGATTAATGATGGGCTCCACTGAGAAATATTGAAATAGGTATGCTCATGGTGGATTTTTCTGGTCAACACAAAATCCACAATCTGAATTTAAATAATCACCTCAAGTATGCACAGAATCTAACATGGGGATGCAAATATTCATAATTTTATTGACATGACAACCGAAAGACTTAGATTACTCACATGGTATTTCTATGTAAGCGTGCCCTCGTCTTAATATTCTGATGAGATTACTCCAAAACTTGAAAAGAATCCAAGAAATCTGTTACAAACATCCGTCTGATTTGCATTGGTTATATTGGTCGGTGTGGGGACCAAACTTCAGAACATATATATACACACACATTTTCATTCCAGGCTCCTCAACAATTAATCCACGTACAGCCATCCACTGCCCATGCACTCTCACCAAAATCTCAATTATTAATTAAGATAGCAGGTAATTTTAAGCGTTTCACTGATTAATACTAAACCATATGTTCTTCATATTAATCATCATCTTGCTCTTTATTATAATAATAAATACTGTATGACCGTAATAATAAGCCATATATCTGCCGTAATAGCAGGCTAGGCAGCTGGATCGATCTGCCATGTTGTTCCCCTGCACCGTCAAAATCTTAATTTGCTTTGTATATAGCCTCGTTACGTTGTTGTCACCGGCGGTAATTTAAGTTCAGATATATAAATATATGTGAACTATATAGAACATATCATAATTTTCTTTCCATTGTTATTCAGAACGGGCTAATTTGGTTGGCTTATATAATTCTTTTTTAATTATGTAATAAGAGTTTGGACCTGTTGACTATTGCTACGTACGCACACCTCATTTCACCCTTATTATTTAAGTTAGCTCTTTTTAAGCTGATTGAGTTTGGTCGATTTTTTGTGATTTTGTTAACAGTCCTAGTCCTTATTAATAAATCAAGATAAGTATTGATTGAGATTAAAGTTCACCAATCGAATCATTTCGAGGGGAAGAGTTGAAAGGAACATTATTATAAGTTGTCGAACAAGCAACCCGATCTCCTTCCCGTTTTCGTTTACTTTCCCCTCTATATATACAGCTAGGTTAGTTTATTCGCTCATTACAATGCGTAGTAATTAATAATTCTTGGCTCTCCTTTAAAAAATAATTGAAACCGAAGGTTCAATGAATTGAAACGTAGTCTTCCTAAACCGAAGGTTCACATATGTCGGCCTTTACCTGATTTTGCTCATGGAGAAGAGAATGGATGCGGGGAAAAGATAGACATATACGTGTGAGTGAATGTTTCCAACCATAAAAGAACCACTTTGAATACTCTGTCTAGCTTTTACGGGTTGCATTTTCCTTTTATTTCTATTTAAGTAATAAAATTATATACTAGTTCAATCCCAGATATGCTAGGAGTATCAACACTGTACTCCATTTTTCCGAAGAAACTGCACAATGGCGACATCGCGTATTGTTTAAGCTCTGCTCTAACATCTCGCCAACGATTTTGACCGCTTGAAAGTATTGCTCTTTTAATTTGGTCCCACCATGTCATGGCGTCTTGATTAATTGATGAAACATATATAATAATTTTAATCATCTTATCACTCAGATCATAACTGATGTTTATTTAAAAACTAATTGATCATTTTAGTTTGCCACACCTTTGCTTTCATCTGGCTATCTACGTCAGTATTTCCATGTATGTATAGATGATGAACCTTGGGGGGGGGGATCTAAAATTTATATATATATATGAACGAGAATTTATGTCTAGATGTCGGCATGAACTTCCTGTAGACTGTAATCACATAATAGAACTCTATTATTTGAACCACATATAAAGATCTCTGAATTTTTGAAGTGTTTTTTTGGGGGGAGGGGGGTTTAGAAAGAAAAGGGGATTGCCGACAAAGGAAGTTTAATTTGGAGAAACATAAAAGGAAGCTCCCACTGCTGCTAGTGGCCTGTATGTGGTCATACTTAATCATGTTGGCTTTGAGACCTGTAAACGAAATTCCAGATTGTCAGAGAAATTAGAGGAACTCTCCGACTGTGAGGAGTAAATTAACAATATGGAAAGAACACAAATAATTAAATATGGGCAATCTGCGCTCATAACCAGAAAGTAGCTTTCGCCATGCTGCAAGCTCTGCATCAGGAAACCAAACTCATTGGTGGGAAGTGGCACCCCGGAGGAATGAACTAACACTACGTCCTCCCCAAACATTGTTTTTATGTCCAATGTTCCCCTTGGAACTTCCGTTGCTACTCCATTGATAAACACTGTGATAAGTCCTGAAATTGCAGTGCCCCAAATCCCCACCCAGTTATTCCAAAATCAGTATACATACCATTGGAAAATTAAGACAGATGACCTCTAAATACCTTTGTTTTTTTTTTGGTCAGTAAATACCTTTGGTTTCTGTTTGAACAATTTTCCATTAATTCATCACCTCATCATTGTAAGCAAAAAATCTGTATCTGTTATATATATATATAAATATATATATGTGAATATATATATTGCAATCAATTGGCAAAGAGATGGAAATCTAGGGAATTACCGATCAACCACGAAAGCTGTTAGGGTTTGGAAATCTTTCTTAATAAGTTTGGATGGAAACTCGAGTACAAGAGAAGGGGGGAATTGAAAGGCAGAAATTGAGTCTGCTACAGGAAATTTGGCTGGTATTTTTTTCACAGAAAAATTTTACCACTTTAAGGCAAAAGTGTCAAATCACGAAAAAGTTGCAACTTTATTCTGTAGGCCTTTAAACCTAATCAGCTCAAACAGTTGAACTTTTTCATATGCCAAAATACTATTAAATTAAAAAATTCACAGTGAGTACATAATGATAGTGATTATTGAAGATTCCCTCAGTACTCTGTAGGATGGCCTAAAATGAAGTGGCGGGTTGTTTTATAATGGATGGAAGCAAGGCTCAAGACAGAATTATTTAACTGTGTTAGGGGAAGAGGAGTATTAATTAACACATAGTTAAATATTTTTTTTCAGGAAAAAAGGGGGACTATGCACTGTTTTGATGATCCTGATGGAGAAACACAAACATGCAATAATTACCAGAATGATAGTTGAAGGTGGAAGCATGAGATGGAGGAGGATATAGAGCTGAAGAAGCAGCCGAAGTGTGATCAAATTCGGGGAAACCCATTTGAGAAGCCACCGAGAAAAGACCGTCAAGGGCTTCTTGGCCGCCAAGCATGCCGCAAGAAGAAGAAGACGAACCGGAGAGATCAAGGAAAGACGGAGAAGCCGCAGCAAAAGGCACGGAAGTAGCAGGAGGAAGAGGATCAGAAGGGGAGGTGGTGTGAGGTTGATGATCATAGGGAATTGCACCGCCACCGGCAAGTTGAGGCTGAAGCTGGTTTCGCTGCTCGAGGGAGGCCTGCATCTGGCGCTGGCGGCGGCGGGATCTGGAGCGGCGGTTCTGGAACCAATAGAAGACGTTTGCGTCGCCGACGGAACCGAACTTCTCGAGGAGCTTCCGGATGCGGATGGTTTCCTCCTTGGGGGGATTGACCATGCCACTGTTGAAGATGGACTCAAGGATGAGGATTTGCTCAGGCTTGGGAGTCCACCTTGACCTCACCGGCTCGCTCCTCTCGGAGGCTTGGTTCGGAGTATTGGTCTCCTGTTGCCCCTCACCTTGATCTTCCATTCCTATGTACACCACCCTACTTCAATCTAATAAGATATCTCTCTGAAGCTGAAACCTAGGCAAATTATATATTATATGCTTTTGCTCGATCACTATTTATATTCCCAACATACTATCATTATATAGAAATACCATTCTATTAGTACCTCTCCTCCTCCTTCCAATGCCACTCATTAACTAATACAAGGGCTTTCATGTACACCAGTACAGAATTATATTAACCTCTCAAATTACCCAACCGCCCTTCAATTTCACCTAGCTCCTCTCCTTGTTATACCTTAGCCTTCCCCAAAATCATGGATTTACACCTTTCTATCTCAATTATTTTTCATTTAATTATCTGTACACTTGATTATTTTGATAGGTTAGTTTTCCCACCAAATGAGCTTCTAGTCATTTCCATCATTTCGCTCTTTATTTTTACTAACGCACCTGAATTTTTTTTTTCTGAAAAGAAAATAAGCTTATGCGGGTATATATTATTACTATATTGGGTGTGTAACCTTTAAAGACACACGGTGGGAGCTCATGGCGCCAGTTAATTTGACACGCGTTTATTAGTAAGGGTTGATATTCTGCTTTTACCTATTATAAAAAGATGGACGATACAGGCAGTGGAGCATATATAATTTTATCCGTAATTAATTTAATATATATGTGTGTGCGTGCTTTTTCCCTTTGGAAACATACGGATCTCCCCAAAACCCGCGTTCAAAGAGAAACTCCCTCCCTTCTTAAAGACGATGGTCTATAAGGTCCTGCATTGGTCATCAGGAGTCATTGATATTCGAAAAGGGGTTTAACCATTTTGTTTAATTGTGGTTTATAATTTAAGCTAATGATAACGCACGCCAAGGAAATTGTTATTCATCGACTCCGTAATGCCATTTTATACCATGATGAGATCGACATATAATATATTCAAACTCACTCAATCATGTTTAATTGGTTGATGCCCCCAAACTCTAATCTCAACCATATTTAAAGGATTCTTCAATAATAACTTTTATGTTTTGTGTTACAAAACACATAATTAAACGTTCATTTTGATGGGAATAATTAATTTTTAAATGTAGTTATTATAATATTTAATTACATGCTCAGAAGTTTTATACCGAGAAATAATTTCAGTCAGCTCGGTTAGATAAGACGTATAATCTTATTGATGAGGACAGGCAATCTTATTCAGGACAGCCACTTGAAATGGAAAGAGGAGCAGAGTGGGGTGTGGGAATCTCGCTATTTGCCAGAGATCAGTCTTTTGGAGAAAGTAAAGAGAAAAGAATGGCATCATATATTTCGCTTCAATTAACTTGATAATAAAACATATATATAAAAAACGGCATGTAAAAACTGTTCATATTTTCAAGGGCTCATCCAGCAAAAATTATAATAGCATTTCCCGTGTGATAAAGATAAATAATCAAGTTTTATTGTTGTCAATAGTCCCATGTAGACACACACATATACGAGGTGAGAAAGATGCATAAATGACAAAGAATTTGATCCAATATTTTAAGGTTTTGAATCAAGATATAATGTTGCACCTACTTATTTACTCAATAGATCTTTCTGGTATTCAACTCTCTTCCAGCCCCAACATTACTCCTTGATGACCTAACCATGTTGGAAAAGATCTCTAGGATGGCTGCTTTATATATATATATATATATATATATATATATATATATATATATCTTTCCCTTCATCCTTAGCTAAACCCCCAAATTGACACATCAATACTTCATCCGGATAAAACATTACTAAATAGGGGCTTCATGTTTCTTGTATTGATTTCTGTAAGCGGGACAAATTTTTGAGTATGCGAAATAATTTCATTTCTTCAATTCTATCCGATGTGTGTTGTTTTATTGGTTATCTTTTTTTCTATAAGATATAAATACTTGGACTGTATTCATGCAATACTACCGTATATTGACAGCTGAATTAATGCGGCCATATTATAATATGGATGGCTCATTCCCTTGCATCATTGATATGTAAATGTACGAGGCCGGGCTAATTGATTAAGGTTAGACTTTATTTGAATCGAGGCTACTGTAGTGTATATAATTTGAGTGATCTATTAGGGGGGATATATATTTTATACGGTCATACATCCTCGTAAATTGTCAAAAACTAGTCCCATTTGTAACCCCCCACATTCACGTTATTCAATGGCGGCATGGCATCCTTTGTGGGATAATTAATTAGCTGGAAGGAATTGTGTATACATATATATGGTAAAAAAGTGTAACGCGTTTGTCGCAGTAAAACTCTAGAATATTGGGTGCATGATCAGGAGATGGTCTATTAAAGAAATATTGAGAAGCTCAAATTCGGGGAAGGTTTGCCTTTGACCAATGAAGTAACTTACATTCCATGGTCAGAGTTAGTAACCCCTTTCTTATTTGATTCACACGAACTTAATAATAAGATACTGTATCAGTTGTATTCGCCACTACTAGCTTCCTGACTATTAGAAGAATATAAGAAGAAAAAGGATGGAGTAAGAGAAGGAAGGCGGTTTTTGGGAAAAATAGAAAAAGAAGGGGGGATGGGATGGATTAGGGTTTTGGACAAGGCAAGTGCATGTGAAGATATGCATGGAAAGCTGGGACGGAGTAAAGGAGAAAGCAAAAATAATCTGAAAAACTAATTAAAAATAGAGCAAAAATCCAAAGGCTGGGTCGAGAAACCGTGCAATAATTTATTACTAGTGACGCTAATGCGAACACACACACTCCTTACAGTCTCTCTCTCTCTGTGCACATCTCCTTTTTATATTAAACCATACAGGGTCATCAAGGGTTGGCTTAAACCTCGAACACTTCTAGTTTCCATCGCCCTTGCTGTTTTCTGTGCACTATATATAGCCTATATATATATATATATTCGATCACTATATTCATGTTCTGCTTTCGCTGCTTCCTTATATACTTTATACAACAATTATCTAGCCACCTGACAATCTGTATTAAAAGCTCTGCTGTTTGCCTGCTTTTCTATGAAAATAAGCATGCAGGTCATCTTTCGGTGAGTTCGCTCTCTTCCATTTTCTGAAAGCCCACACGGTGTTCGTCGTCATTTATGCGGATAAAATCATGAACATGTCAGTTATTTATATATGCGTCTTTTAACTAAGTTCCTTTCACGCTCAACCGGTTCCCAAATTAAATGTGTATACCAATCAACATCACTTAATTTATAAGAAGATCAATTTCACGCATGCGCGTGCCTAATAGAATTAACCTTGACGATATATATAGAAACTAGGCTATCAATAGCGAGAGAAGTCGCGAATCATGTAAGCCTGAATTCTATTATAATCTTCTGATGGTGTTGGCTAAATTTGGTTCTCTTTTTTCAAGTTAAAAAGTGCTTCTACGTGCCCACATGAGTATTCATGCGAACCAAGGCATTATTGTATGTGGTGGGAGTATATCAATATAATTAAGCTTTACAGTTTTATCAAGCAAGTTTCGTACTGAGGTGCGAGCGCAGAGCATTATTGTCTGTACGTGCTTCCACCCCAGTTACAGTAATAGTGCATGTCTGACTGAATAACACTGATGAAGAAAATGAGATACACGCATGCTAAATACATATATAGAGAGAGAGGGGGGGGGAGAATATTGGCTATATATGCATATATAGGTAGGTAGACCAGAAGTTTCTGCGCTGTAATTATGAGGAGGCCAGCCGAGTAAGCAGGCGGAAGATGGGGCGTTCGAACACGGGAATGTTGAAATCTTGTGCCCCAAAAGAAAAACAAAAATTTTGATGAGACACACAGTGCCTCTTGTTATATAAATATATACATGGGAATTGAACTGAGATGAAAGGAAGGAAGGAAAGGTCATATATATAGAGATATAGTGAATGAAAATGGGGTGAGTGGGGAGAGAGATGGGAGGTAGGTGGGTTGGCACTTCCAGCTCAGAGGCAAGTGTGAGAGTGTTGGTGTTTTGCCAAAAATGGAAAAGTGTTGGTTGTGACCGACTTGGAAATGTCGTAAATGTAAATATTAAATATAAAAGAAGCCAAAGCCATCGGAATCTACACTGTTGGTCTGTGGACTGAGCACTGTAAACTGTGAGTGGCAGCCTCTCGTGCTTCTCGTACTGCATTTCTATAAACTCCAAAACCCTCTCGCTACCCTCCAAATCAAAGCTTTGGCCTCTCTCCCCCTCTTCCACCATCCTATCATACCCATTTCATCTCCTCCTATCTATGAACCTCTTCACCAAGAGCTACTCCTCGGCTACTTAATATAAAACCTTATTAAGGGATTGATATTGATTCTATTAAAAAAAAAATCTACTTCATATATTTATCAATTTTTTTCTCAAATTAATTTTTTCTCAAATTAATCCTTTTAATATTTTCTAATAATAATCAAGTAGAAAATGAATGGAGAGAATTAAGAAAGATACTTAGAATGTTTTAGAAAAACATATTATATTAATTAATTTAATTAAAATTTGTAACCTATTTAAATTAGTTAATTAGATCTCACATTAATAACCGGACCAGTAGATTCTTGTTACCCTCACTCTAAGGGTTCGCAATTGTGCTTATGCATACATGTCACCAAACTTGGGTGCTGTGAGGACGAAAATCACAATGATTTACTCAGATTGTATATCTTCAAATTCACATTGTGTTTTATTTTGATAATCTAATTCTATAAAATTTCATTTTCAATAATTCTGACCATATATGTGCGATTAGTTTTATTAATAAAAATGTTAAGGTTTTACATGGCCGTTGAGAGAACATTTTCAAAATCTCACATATTGAGCTTAATTTTTAAAATAACAATGATTGGCATAAAAATATCACTTGAGACTAACAGTGTTGGAGTCGAAGAACCGGAGAGATGGTTTATAAAATTAGGAAATAAAATGAAAAAAGAACCTTGCATAAAAATAGAGTACAGATGATATACTTTTACCAAAAAAGAAATATTCTTGAGAATATTCAAGACATATATTATGACATAGTATAGTAATGTTCTTCAATAAAAATACTATTTGTAAAATTAAAAACTTATAATCGTACGGTGATTTTTAAAAATTATTATTTAAAGTCTTAAATATAAAAGCTATTTTGCAGTTCAAATTGCACTACAAACTAGCTTTTATATTTAGAACTGGATCTAATATTTATTTTTGTTTGCAAGGTTATAAATTTTGCTAGCCACATTACATTTGCCGGAAAAACGCAATGACACATGAAGGGATTGCCGAACTTAAATATATCTTGGGGCAGTAAAGAGGCATAGAAGAAGGTCCGGATGGGAGGAATGTAAAGACTGGGCCCCTGTCCCTGATGGAATCATCACGCAATGGGCCATTGGGATAGTAAACAGGTCCTAATGGCCCAACTCCCATTTCTCATAATAACAATAACAAAACGGGGGAAAGATTCTTGGATAAGTGGGTCTCTTCCCGACCCAGTTGAGTTTTGGGCTCGTCCTTATCAGACCCGTAATATTATTATTCCTTTAATCCCTTTCTTTTTTACCGGCAATGATAATACTACCTCCAGTCCTAATTATAAGAGCCAGTTAACTAATTTGAGGAGATTAAAAAAGTAATTTGAGTTAGTTATTTGTCCTAAATAGGTGTTGTCTTTCCTAAAATATCCTTGCTAATCAAGTGTACTGATTAGAACTATTATTGTTAGAATGCCTACTTTGGAAAAATATATATAAATATAAGAGACAAAGTGGATTGGGGTCTTATATTTAGGACCAAAATAAAAGTTAAATAGGATCTTATATTAAGGACCGGAGGTAGTATTATTACTATTCCACTCTCATGCCTCAAGTCCTCGTACAATTGCCCCTTTGATTCCATTGCGTTATTGGATGGATTCAGCATTAAACTTTAGATTCATGCTGATCAATTATATTTAAATGTTTGTATCTCCGTTATAGTATGCTAAAAGGATAAACAATACCCCCTCCAATTTTTAATATAAAAATTACTCCTCCGGTCCTTAATATAGGACCCAATTATTGAGTTGGTTTTGGTCCTAAATATAAGACCCATTTCTCATATTTATCAGTTTTCTCTAAATTACCCCTAGAGATACTCCCTCAACCATAATCAAGTAGAAGAGAAAAAAAGGGTATTAAGAAATACGATTATAGTATTTTAGGAAAAACGCGTCATATTTCTTATAATTAACTAACTTACCTAACTTTTTTAATCTAATCAAATTAGTTAGATATGTCTCATATTAAAGATCGGAGGAGTATTTAATTAATTTGAGTAGATAAAAAATTTGAAAACGGATTTTTCTAAAGATAGAGGATGGACGACGTCCGTCAGCGTCCGCTGCTTCGAGTTTCTGGTTCGCTCCTCAGAATTCTTCTCATGCATCTTTCAGGCAGGCCCTTGGAAATTGTATTCTAAGGCCCTTTCGTCTCTTTTTCCGCTGTTTGGGAAAATAATGAGACGCAGCTGACTAAATTGAAGAAAACTGGCATGCTTGAGTTCTGGCAGATTTCCAGAATTATGATTCCGTTAATCCTCCTTCCTGCCAAATCATTCTTCTAATTCGCACTCTATCGATAAGTAAGACCTCCCCCCGTAGATCATGCAAGAAAATGCATATATACTGACCTAAAATGTTCCAGAAATAATGTTACGTAATTGAGATCATGTTTGGTATGGCATATCTATTTTGAAAACTTCAAAAAATATCTTAGGAGTAGCCTCAATTTTAGTTTTATGTGAAAATAAAAAACCTTCTTCCTAACGAAGTCCATATTTATCTTAGAGGATGTCTGAATTAGTTTTTTTTAAAATAATTTTACAGGACACAAGATAAATATGTAAAATAAATTTTATCTTAATTTATGTGAAAATACCTTTTTGAGGTTTCCAAACAGGTAAACACCTTTTTACTCATGGAAAGCACCAATCCCATAAAAATCTAAATAATTGGCTCGTTTGAAATGATTTATAAGTAACCTTTTAATTATAATTTACAGAACACGTGACAAATATATGAGACAAGTTTTTAATTTATCTTGACTTACATAAAATGTACACTCATAAGTGCTTGTAATCATGAATCCAAATGAGGCGAATGTGAAGTTTGGTTGGTTCCCTCCGATCCCCTCCATAGTTGCTATAGTACTTTTTCTTCCCCTTTGGGAACATAGTCACCATATAGTTTTAAATCGTCCAATTCAAATACTAAAGATATGAATTAACTTTTAAGAATATAATATCTTTTTCTCATGTATAGATTCAAAACAATTTAGTTTTTATAATTTTGTAACTCAAAAAACTAGCCAATCATTATAATTTCTTGACTTGAACCAAATTTTTATAATTTCTTAATTCAGTAACGGATTAAGTTAGAACAAGCCAATTCAAGAATTAAATCATCAATTAAAAAATAGTGTCCAGATTAAAGTTATATTGTTTATACTTTTAAAAATGAACTATTTTGAACCTTCTCACCCCTAAATCCGCTAGGTTCGAGAGCGGGATAGGCAATCATTCTGCAATAATGTGTATCAATCATTGACCAAGATAAGGATTTTTCCCTTATTATCTAAACCGCTTTTATGGGTAACAAGCACGACCTAGTTAATGAAGTTCTCATACTATTCTCATACGGCACAGTTTCTAATAATAACTTAACAACTGATGATAAAGTTAATTAGGTCGAAATCCAATGTCAATGGAATCTTTAATTTGTACAATTTAAAGGTTATTTCTTTGCACAACTCAAAACTCATGAGAGCTATCGACATTTTAACGTTTAAAATAATATTCGAATTCATCCACATACACACATGCTCAGACTACAGTTGGTTAAACTAAATTATCAATCTGAAGATAATCGACGAAGGTCAGAAGGAAAGACAAATGATCCATTTGCGCATGGAGTCTCGCCGGGAACCCTGACACGAGAGACAGACGAAGCCAATTATCAAACCCGAATCAAAATTTATATTACAGGTGTTTAAATTTGCAAAGCTTAAGGGTGCAAGCTGCTCATCTTCAATCCACAGATAGCATGGAAGCTTTTCAAGACTCATACATGATCTTAATTACGTGAATTAAGTGTGCTCAAACACAAATACCCAGATACTGGGGCTGATAGATTATCTGGAAGTTTGCTCATGTTACTGTTGATGATTTTTGTACCCACGACAATCCACCCCTGGTCGCTTTGAGGATGGACATTGCGAGACTTCGGCTGAACTAGTCTATTTGGTTTCATGTTTTGATTCAAAAAAAAAATAAAAAATCAAAACACAGCTATTCAATATTCGCCGTGAACAATATCGATATCGATACCTCATCTATCGGTGACGTAATAATTTTTGTAATGACACAAGGAAGTCTCTTTATTTCATGTCAAAATAATAGAAGAGAAGGGTAAGAAATACAAATCAGATATTCAAAACATCGAAGTCGCCTCTATGAACCTTAATTTAAGATACTACTTGTGATGTATGAGACAAGGTTTCCACTCAAGTCATGTGAAAAACAAAATAATTAAAGAAACCCCCGGCGCCCCAATAAAAGCAGAATCTTGGATCATTATTGATTAAAAGCCCTGCAATTCTTCCTGATCTCTCCAGCGTTTCCAACCAAAACATCAATGCTTCCCATCTTGATCATGGCATTTGCAAAACTCTGCATAAAGCTACCACCGTTGCCTGCAAAACCCGAAACAATGCCTCTGGAAGATGCGTCATCAGCCAAGTTCTGGTCGATCTTAAGCACTCCTTTCTTCTTAAGGATCTGTTTATAGTACTCGTTATCGAAAACGAATGACGTGTTTTGATCCAAAAACACTCGCGGATTGTTCGCCGCCGGCCTGCTCGATGACCCACAGGTTCTGCCCAGCTTAGTATCCAAAGCAGAGTCCATGGCAGGATCCCGAGATCCGAAGCTGGACAACCGACCTCGAACGAAGTTGCAGTGAGTGAAGCCCACCGTGTGACCTCCCAAGAGTGCCACCATTTCGCTCAACGTCATTCTTTTTGCTGTGAAGGATCGGAGTGCCTGTGACACCGAGTCCGAAGGTCCGGGAAGATTCACTTCGTTGGGATTAGACACCAGGCCATCTCGGCGTCCCGTGGGAACTTTGTATGAGGGTCCTCCCGCTAGAGCGACCGAGTCCCTTGTAGCCAGTGTTATGATATCTGCGCACGAAACTGTGTTTGGACAGGCTTTTTCCAAGGCTCTCTTTATCTCATCGATCACCTCATATCCTCGAACCGACGTATTGGGTCCGGCCTGTTTCTCGGATCCCTTTCCACCCTTCGGATCTATTAGTATGGAGGCGTCACATCCCTGAAACCATGTATATATGCATTAGTATCAGCATTAAGGGGAGGGGGGGGAACGGGCGGGTTAATCTGAGGATCGGATACACACACACACACACACACGTATGGTTGAAGTTCTTACCCTGACAAAGCAATCATGGAAGTGCATGCGAAGGAGGGCGGCGGTAACGGATCTATCACTTCTGAAACGGTTCTGCACAATACGACGGACGATGGCCTCTGCAGAAGGGCAGGATTTGCTGTAGAAGCCAAGCCTGAGGTCGGCGAGTGCGAGGGGGAGCAGGAAGAGGAAGATGAGAACGGAAGAGAACAACTTGGCCATGTTTTGGGTTTGTGAGAGTTTAATTTGCAAGAGAGGTGATTGTGTGGTTACTGCGTGCAGAGGATGGGGAAGGGGGAGGGTATATATAGAGGGAATGGGAGGTGGCAGGAACGCTCACAGGTCAAACACGAGGGTGACGGAATTATGTAGGCGAATATAGAAGAAGGCATATGGTTTTGTGGGCGAATCTTGGTGCGTCTTGCAATGCAAGGAAGGTACGTATTTTGTTTGCTCGCCTGTCTAGTCATGATGATGAGTATTATATCATAGGAATTCCCGCATATAGCAAACAAAACTTGTCAAACCCACATGACAAGTAGTATAGTTAAATTTCTTATTATAATTTGCAAATCATTCGTCGATAGGCAGATCTTAATGGCAGAACGTGCGGGGTTTTAATGTTTTATATATGTATAAAAAGAAATGGCACTGATGATATTCTGTGTGGCGTGTGGCCTGGGTACTTAATTCAAAAAAATGATTAAGGAACACTCCAAGAATGATAAGGAAGTGAACAGATTTTAAGCGTGGATGCATATGGTGCTTTCTATGGACGTACAAGCAAAGTGGAATACAAGTCCAGCAGAGTAGAGAACGAAGGATGGTGGGAGAGGGTAGTAACTAATATGTGATACATGTAGCAGGGATTAATTAAGCATAAAGAAGCCAGGAATGAATGCGGGCAAAAAAGGAATAAACAAAGGAGGAGAAGTAGAAGAGACAAAAGAGAGGGGGACTGGTGTCCAGCTGGCACGTGAATAGGATGCAGAAGAGGAGTGGGGGCGGTCAAAGATGGAGGGTCAGCGGCTTCCCAGAAAACAAATAAGAGGAAGGATGGAGGGTGAAATATAGGATATAGATAAGACACATATATGCTCTGCGTCTACCCATGCCCGACCCGCGCTCTTCATCTCCCGCGCACCATTTCGCATTTCTGCCCCGCCGCCACTTGCATTCTATTTCAAATTTTCATGCAATTTTACAACACTTACACACACACACACACACACAGATTTTGCGATTACACATCGACTCCCATTTCATCGTCTACGTGTGAATGAATGACACTAAATACAATTAATTCTCTGACTGATCACAATAAATACATGTAATGTCGCTGGCAAAAGCAACCAAAAAAACCAAAGAAAGAAATACATATTTTATAAAGTTTATTTTGTGACTCTGGGTTCTGGAAGACTGGATCTGTTTTGTTTTTTTGTTTTTGCCATCAGATTCGATGACTCTTATAACTACGCCCGTTACAAATTAAATAATAAATATGTGTTCTTGAAAAAACATATTGAATATCTTAATAAAAACATCGGAATAACTAGTAAATAAATGACTACTAATATGTTAAAAAAAAGAAAAAAAGAAAGGAAACTGTCTTGGGGACAACACGTGGGCGCGTGTTGAGCTCTGAATTCTGATCACGTTCCAAATAGATGGCTGGCTTAGCCCTCAAGCCCGAACATCAACTTCATCCCGTGACCTCCTGAGTGTTTCACACTAATCAATATTTGATTATTTAAGAGTATATACTGTAACATTGTATTTTTCTGGTTCTAAATATAAGATCTTTATTGAATATATACTGTCATATTGTACTCTTCTGATCCTAAATATAAGATTGAAGGAGTGATTTTTTTGTGTTGTAAGAATGTAATATGATTTTACACCTTCCAATATTTTTTTAAAATAGTATAATTCCAAACTCCATAAGCACAAAATACATGCACATTAGGAGTTTAAAATTACTGAAAATTAAAATTTAAACGCACAGTTCAAAAAAAGGAATGTGGCCTGAATCAAAATGGGATGGTTTAAACTGTACTTCTTGAAAAAAGTAGTAAGTTGAAAGATGTCATTATTCGACCTTGCTTAGAAAAAATGCACGAAAACATGGATATCCAGTGTTAGGTTATTGGTGATAATTCTGGTATAAAAAAAAGGTTATTGGTGATAAAAAAATAGTTGTACGGGAGAGAACACATGGCGGCCCGCCTGCATATTCAATTTTTTGTAGTACTGCTCCTTTTCAATTTTCAACGGGGGCGACGATGCACGTTTTGCATCTCGATGCATATATAATTGAGGGAATATTAACAACATGATGATTAATTGAATCGGTGCCATTTGGGAAAACAACCTAATAATCATTGCTTCATTTAAAAGAAAACCGCAAGTCCTACGTCCGATCCTAATTATAAAATCCAGTTAACTAATTTGAGGAGATTAAAGAAGTAAGTTAAATTAGTTATTTGTCCTAAATAAGTGTTGTCTTTCCTAAAATATCCTTGTTAATCAAGTGTATTGACTAGAACTATAATTATTAGAAGGACTATCTTGAAAAAAAATTGAGTAAATATGAGAAACAAAATTGATTGGGGTCTTATATTTAGGATCAAAATAAAAGTCAGACAGAGTCTTATATTAAGGACCAGAGGTAGTATAACATTATTTTAAAAAAGCAAGCAAATTATGATTGTGGATAATATTATGTGTGTAAATATGGAGCTTACATATTCTAATTAATACTTTTCCGGTTCTAAATATAAAACCCATTTTATAGTATAAAAGAATAAGATTTATTTTGTAGTATAATTTACACTATAAAATAAGTTTTATATTTAAGACCAGAGGAGTATAATAATCAAAGGAAGGTGTCCAAATTAAGGTCTTGACAATAATATTGAAAGTGCCTTCACCGGAAGACCCTGCGCCCCCTTTTGGTTGTATAATAATGTGCGCGCTCATATGGAAATGTAGTTTCAATTATTTTTATTTTACTCTCTGGTGAAAAAAATTATTTTTATTTCACTCTATGTTGGACGTGGCAATCCGAAATATCCTCCTAAACACACAGTTTGATCAATCTGAATACTTCATTAATGATCAAAAATGGATTACACTTTCGGGCCTACCGAGACCCATTATATATACAAGTCATAGTGACAAATCAAATTACACTCAGATACGCAACTAGAAACTAATCCTCATGGGCTACATACATTCGGGCCCATCACACTAATTTGGGCCTACAAACTAAACAGGAAAATACAACAAACGAATCAAATATTTCAACACTCCCCCTCAAGTTTGGGGCTTAAAAACATCCACAGCACCTAACTTGCTCAGAAGATTTCTCTGCACATTGCCTCCAACAGCCTTTGTGAGCAAATCTGCCTGTTGATCATTGCTTCTGACATGAAGCAGATCAATAAGCTTTGACTGCCATTTCTCTCTAACAAAATGACAGTCCACTTCTATATGCTTTGTACGTTCATGAAAAACTGGGTTAGCTGCAATATGTATTGCAGCTTTGCTGTCACAATACACCTTCACTGGATCATTGTGAGTTATTCCCAAATCTTTCAGCAAACTGAGGGCCCATACTACTTCTGAAATGGCCATACTTAAAGCCCTATATTCTGCCTCAGCAGAGGACTTAGAAACAGTGTTTTGTTTCTTTGTTTTCCACATTACAAGTGAGCCTCCCAACTTCAACAAGTAACCCGAAACAGACCTTCTTGACATTGCACATGATGCCCAATCTGAATCACAATAACACTCTAATTCTGGTTTCCCTTTAGAACTGATGAAAATTCCCAAGCCAGGAGTCCCTTTTAGATAGGGCAGAACACCTCTTGCTGCAGCCATATGAGCCTTGGTTGGCATTTGCATGAATTGACTCAACGTCTGCACAGAATAAGATATATCAGGTCTGGTCATAGTTAGATATATCAACTTACCCACCAAGCGTCTGTATTTTTCAGGTTCCTGTAATAGATCCTCCTTCTTGTTCCTCTTTTCATCATAGGGAAACAGCTTCAGACTTTGTGCCATTGGGACTCCCAAGGGCTTACAACCTGTCATACCAGTCTCAAACAGCAAATCTAGAACATATTTCCTTTGTGACAAAATAATTCCTTTTTCAGATTTAGCAAATTCTATCCCAAGGAAATATTTCATTAAACCAAGATCCTTAATCTTAAAATGTCTGTGCAAAAAATCCTTAGTTTTACTAATGCCAAATTCTGTACTCCCAGTTATCAATAAGTCATCCACATATACTAGAATAAGTACAACCCCATCATCATAATGTTTAATAAAGAGAGAATAATCTGATTTACTTTGAGTAAAACCTCCTTTCTGCAATGATTCAGACAGCTTTTGATTCCACTGTCTTGAAGCCTGTTTTAAACCATAAAGAGATTTATTCAATTTGCAAACCATTTGCTCCCCCTTTCTCTCAAAACCCTGAGGTATTTTCATATAAACTTCCTCATCTAAATCTCCCTGTAAAAAAGCGTTATGAACATCCATTTGATATACACTCCATTTATTCACAGCTGCTAATTTTAGAACCACTCTAACAGTAAACATTTTTACAACAGGGGAAAAGGTCTCATGGTAATCAATCCCTTCCTTTTGACTATAGCCTTTAGCCACTAATCTAGCCTTATACTTTTCTATGCTACCATGAGCATTATACTTGATTTTATACACCCATTTGCAACCAATGGGGCTTTTTCCTTTAGGTAAAGGCACTATAGTCCAAGTTCCATTATTTTCTAAAGCATTCATTTCAGCCTGCATGGCCTTAACCCAATCTGGATTTTGAACAGCTTCTTGATAACATGATGGTTCATTATTTGAATCAAGGGAGGTTAAAAAACACATGTGATCGGGAGACATTGAGGCATAAGATAAGTAATCATCAATAGGATATTTGCAGTTACTCTTAACAGGTCTGTCCGAATCAAATTGTAATAAAGAACAAACATAATCATTAGCCCAAATGGGGGGCTTTCTAGTACGTGTGGTCCTATGAGTATGAATTCCATTTCTGTTGTGCACATTATCATCATTAACATCATTATTACCTTCACTGATTTCTTCATTGGACATTCTATTTCCAACTAATTCATCACCACTATTATCTAATCGGGGTTCTTTAACCGATTCTGAATTCTGTTTCTCAAAAATATCTGATTCAA